GCCTGGGTGGCTCAGATGGTTAAGCGTCTGCCTTCGGCTCAGGTCATGATCCCAGGGTCCTGGGATCAAGTCCCGCATCGGGCTCCCTGCTCCTTTGGAGCCTGCTTCTCCCTCTGCCTCTCTCTCTCTCTCTCTCTGTCTTTCATGAATAAATAAATAAAAATCTTTAAAAAAAAAAAAGCTGGTTCAGAGAGGTGGGAGACCAGAGGTGGTGAGACTAGTTAGAAGGTATTAGACATGTAGGGAGGTAAGGAAAAAGCCTAAAGATTGGTGGGGCAGTGTTTAAAGGATGTGCAGAGAATACACTTTGATATATCCCATGAGAATATCTGGGGATAAATACCAGGGGAAGGGCTGGTGGGATGGGGGTACAGAAATGTATAACTCCTTCATCTTCATCCAGAAAAAAAAATCAAACTCCCTTCTTGCTGTAGCAGGAATTTTATGTTTCTGGTCTTGCTGAGTTATAGGAAACTGGGAGAGACGACAGTGTTCTTCCTTTTGTTCTCTTTCAAGAGATCATAATGGTAGAGATGATATAATGCCGACTTTCCACTCACTAAGTTTTCATCAGATCTTTAAAAGAATGATCCAGTCAGATAAGCTACTTGTTAATCAAACTATAATATAATAAAACATTGTCTTTATTCTGAAAATTAGGTTCTGATCAAGTGTTCATTTTGCGTGGTTTAATAAAATTCCAAAATCCTGTATCCATTCATTTGCCATCAAAGTCATCCCCATCCTGGGCCCTTAACTTTATTACATCAGAGCAGGAGAAAACCCCACCCCATGTCTAGTGCCAAGCTAGCTAAGTTCCTGGCACATAGTATGCAGGCACGGATATTTGCTAAAAGGAGTAAAACAAACTCAGGGGATTTGCTATCACGTATCATTTTAATAAACCCCTAAAAAAATCTCACAGATACTCAATTCAGTGGCCTGACACCAAAATTCCTATTGCAACTTGGATATGGATGATCTATAAGACATGTTCCTGGAGCTGGTGGTCTCTAGGACATACAACATATTTGAACTTTTTAAAAAAAATTCTTTTTTAAGTAAACTACTCCACACATGGGGCTCGGACTCATGACTCCCAAGATCGAGAGCCGCATGCTCTCCCATGCTCTCCCAACTGAGCCAGCCAGGCGTCCCAATACCTGAACATTTTTGTCTAAAATACATTATTCCCCTGGTTTCATCATAATATCTCTTAATAAGAGAAAGTCCACTTTCCCTGAGAAAGAGACCCTTTGCACTATGAGTCATTCAATAAATA